TAATTTCATCTTGAACATAATACAACATCATCCAACTTTTCTTAAACGATATTTCATTTTCCTAAGGATTAAACCAAGTGTACGGATGATTTCTTGATAGAATTTTTCCAGATGCCGTATTGTGGTCAATTTTTCTTTTTCATTTGTCCCTTTTTTTTTCAGTCACCAATGAAATGGTGCCACCTCACCATCTGTACAAATTCTGTGCACCGATCAGGGTTCTTTTCCTAAGGATAAAACCTAGTGTATAGATGATTTCTTGATAGAATTTTTCCAGATGTTGAGTTGGTTAGTTTTTTTTTCAGTCACCAATGAAATGATGCCACCTCACCGTCTGTATAAATTCTTACACCAAACCGGGTTCTTTTCCTAAAACTAATGAGGATGACACATTCTATTAATGCTCAACTCTTCATCTGCATTAGGAGATACCACCTTACTAGGCACCAATCTAAAGAGTTGACTATGAATTTTTCGACCATTGTAATTAAATGGTGCCTACACTTCTATTAAATCTTCTGCATGCGTCTGTAATATTCACCTTACAAATTTGGGTAACTACATTTTGGACATGACCTCGATAGGTTATTGGAATTCGAGATATGAGAATGGTAAGTATATAAGAAAATTAAGTTACCTCTCTTGATATGTTCGATATTTTAGAATTTTTGATTGATTCTAAAGTTCGAACAAAGTACATGAATAAATAATTTAACGAAGTCTAAAATAATAAAATGAAAAATTGAAACTTACATCTATGATCTAACAAAACCATCAACAATGTGAACTTATTTTCGTTGCAGGGTTAACGAACATAAACTTATGTACATATGGAATTGGACTCCTTGTAAGCACAGTATACAGACAGCTCTTGTTTTCTTGCCTGATGGAGCACATCCTGCGATTTACCTCTCTCACAAAACTCTAGGGACGGATCGGTGGGGGCCTTCAAGGTTGGAGTTCAACTATTTTTTTTTTTTTTTTAATACTTTCCAAGATCAATGCAACACATTATTGGCTCTAATTCAAGCTAAAATATTGTCCTACTTATTTACCACCCTTTTGGCTTCTCATTCCTTTTCTCTCTTTTATTTTCAACCACACAATTTTCAATAAAATAATATTATACGCAAATAAAAAAAATTTCATTTTTTTTCATCTACACATTTTTCAAAAAAACATTATTCCAACTATTAAAATTTCAAAAAAATGGAGGCCAAACGGGGCTTAAACCAAGATATGAATATGCAAATTTCAAAATAATTAAAAAAATATCAATGCCAAAAAGTTGCTTAATCTCTTTTTAAATACTTTCATGCATACAATATATTTTCTAGATCGATACAACACCATATTGACTCAGTTTTAAATCAAAATTTCATCATACATCATTGGACCGACATAGTGAATGTTTAATATAGAACTTAAATATCGATAATATCAAATTACTCAATTATTTTTTATAATATTATTCTCCACCCAACTTGATAGTATCGGCACTCTACAAGAGGCTCCTGTATTCCACATTGTGTTATTGAAGATTGTACTTTAATGTACAAGCAAATTAACTGTATTAATTATTGATAATTAAACCGGTAATTATATTCACACTACATTTTTTATTTGTTACACCATATTTTAATTTATCCTTAATTTTATTTTCTACACATTTTTATTTTCAACATTTTATTAATTAGCACATATCATATTGTATAATGGCTTATGCCAAACAAGTCTGATCGAAAGCTTAAAATAACTAATTTTTCAATCATACTTTTAAAATTAATAAATGAAAAAATGTGATAAAATATTTTCCTCATTTTAAAGAACAAACAAAAAAGATATTTTAAATGAAACCATCATCATAGACAATATTTGCTAATTAATAAAATGTTGAAGATAAAAATTCGACAAAAAAAAAAATATGGACAAAAGTTCTCCAATGAGCAAAGATTTATGACCTTGAGTAAAATAAAAATATGATGCTACTAATAAAAATTGTGACGCAAATATAATTATACAAATGGTGTGATTGGAAGCATGAAATTTGCATAGAAAGAAATAAATTCTAGGCAATGAAAATTATTAATTTAATATGTTTAATTACTTTAGTTTTCAACCTAGAAAATATTATACTTATTCATTTTTAATTGATGGATAAATGAGAGAGAGTGATAGATGAGATAGTGAAAGAATGAATGAATTATTGGAAAATAAAAATCATCATTCCATAAAGAAAATATTTTCCTTATTTTTTAGAAAAATATGATAATATGACCAAAAGTTTAAAAATATTTTTCATGAAAAAAAATTAACAATTGGACACTTTAAAAATAAAAACTTTGATTGAAAAAAAAAATATATATATATATATATATATATATATATATATATCAAACATAAAAACTGCAAAATGCTACCGGTTTTACGGTCATGTACGGGCCCAATTAAATATCGTACCATCAAATGCATGCCCCACTATCACGCGTTTCAAGTACAAATCTTTGATGGTGCAATTTTTATGATTTTTTTTTATAATTTTTTATGTTTTAATATATCTCGAAGTGGTTAATCTGAAATGCGACTTTATAATTATGTGTGATGATGAGCAGCCAAGATGATGACAACTGTATGGCTGTGATTAAAGAAACCCGTTAATCCATCTAATAATGCTTCATATACAATGAAATATTTTGAATAAAATATTTTACTCGTAAATGATATTTTACTTATAAGAAATTATCTACATAGAAGTTAATTTTAATTTTAAAAATTGAAATATTTACTTATAATTAATTTTTTAATTAATAAGTAATTTTATAAACATAAGTAAAATTTCTACTTTTATTTTTATATTTTATAAGTGATTTTTTTCTTTATTAGTATATTTTTTACTTGAGAAATTAGTTACTAAAAGTGAATTTTGATCTTACACATGATTTTTAAATTATAAATAAAATTTTAGTTATAAAATAATTTTTTGGTTACTGCATTTTTATTTAGAAGTACTTTTTTTTATGTATAATTAATTTTTTTTCTTGTGAAATAATTATTTCAAAGAAAGTAAAATTGGAAGGAAATATGAAAAATGTCAAAAACAACCGATACAATGGTTAAAAATACGAGTCAAATTACATTAGACTAGGCTTAGGCGATTTTTAAAACACTAAGGGGGTATTCTCTTTGTGTTTCAATTTTCTGTTTTGAGTTTTGTGTTTGTTTTGAAATTGTTGAAAATGCGTTCTTTTTGTTAGTTTCTCAAAACAAAAAAAATGATTTTGTTTTTTTTGAATTTTAAGAATCACCACAACACCACCTAAAAAAAAAAAAAAAAAAAAATTAATTTTAAATTTTTTTTTTAAATTTTGAAAAACCCCCCCCCCCCCCCCAAAAAAAAAAAAAAAAAAAAAAAAATGTGTGTTTCCTGCGTTTTCAAGTTTTACACTGAAAACGTCCAAAACGACAAAAAAGTCGTTTTGTGTTTTCTTCACAAATTTTTTTTTTCGTTTTCAAAAATTCGTTTTCGAAAACGGGAAAGAGAACACGTTTTCACCATTTTGAAAAATAGAAAACGGCCCGAAAACGGTAAAGAGAACAAAGCCTTATTTTTTCAAGTTTTTATAAACGGTGTCACCCAAAAACAAACAAAATCAATGGAAAAAAAAATAAAAAATGAAAAATAAAAAATTCTCAAGCAAGTCCTTACAGTTTCTAAGAATCTTTCATCTTCTTGTCTCTCTGCAAAAACTCTTTTTGTCTTTCTTGGTCTAATGATAAGTTGCCCTGTACAATTTAGGGCTTTTGTGCTCTAATGATAAACTAGACCGTGGTTGTTATTTTTATAGGATTTACTATGATTATTAGCCTATGTTTGCTCTTTAGTTGATGTCACTTTGTGATTGTAAAGTTTAAAATGTGGTGAGGAATTTGAGGTTTTATTGCTTACTTTTGGTCTCAGAAGAGCTCCGTACGGTAGATCTAAATTAGATCAATCTAAGTCATCAATCTCATGTTCTTTTTAACTTGTTAAATTGTATTATTATCGGTGCATAAAAATTAGTATTATCAGAATTTTATGACTTTAAGAAAAAACACATTACAAACAAGATTTTTTAAACGCGTGCCCTAGTTTGTTGGATCTCTCGTTTCCTTTCTATATCTACCAATAAGAGAAAGTTCGTAAATTTACAGAACCAAATCTATGTCATAGAAAAACTACATACTAAACAAGAATTACGGTGGAGCGAAAATAAGGGGTGTCTTCAAATAAAATTGTGATGGAGTCAATTGAGAATTTAATGAAATTCAATGGAATCCTTTAAGATTTATATATTCTCGATAACTAGTGAATTTATAAATATTTCATTAATATAGGAATTTTAAAAGATTTGAATGATTTTCAAGCTTAAAAATACATATAATCAAATCTTTTGAAATTTTACCATAATTGATTAGATTCTTATGGGATTTATTATAATCTATTTAAATCTACAAAATTCATTGGATTTATAATCTTTTAAAATTCATCAAAATCTTATAGTTGAAAACACCTCCATAAATTAGTTTCTATTTTATAAATTAGACATTCCAATTAATTGTAATATGTAAGAATTTAATAAAGAAAAACAAAACCCACAGCCAAACCAAGAAAGTAGAATAGTTAATGGGCAGATAAGTTCAAAATTATGTGCTCAAAAGCTCACGACAAGATTTATGCTTATCAAATCTTAACTTTTTCTTTGGAAAATAAGTTATTTAAATACATAGTTTTTTGAAAAAGAAAAAAAAAAGGAATTTTAAATGGGGAGTGACCGTATACGGAAGGTGCATACGGCAGTGTCCTACGGAGAACACAAAAGCCACCCATAAGGGGAGAACACGTGTGGGTCCCACGTTCCATTAATTTTTTTTTTTTTTTTTTTTTCTGTTTCTTGTAACTCCCTTAATGGCATGCCAGAAGGCCCATAACTCATGCATATGCACTTAAAATTACTAAATTAACCTTGTCCTTTTTTATTCCCTTTTCAAGGCTAAAATGAAAATTATATTTTATTTCCAAAAGTACCCAAATGTTGTTGGTGGTAAAATTATGATTAATGTTATTTTTTATTTTTGGATATTCAGGTATCCCAACTTACACTAAACTAAATTTTGGACCTCCAAGACCCTTGGCCCTAGAACCTTGGAGGGGGTAAATCGCTGGATATGCCTCAACTGGATCACATGTTCCCCTCATTGCTTGTACACTTCTGCGCACAAGAGACCCTCTTCCACAGTGATTGCTCCATACCAAATTTTTGGCCGCAGGTTCCCACCAAAAATCGAACTCTCCACCCTACCAATGGAAACAAGACAATGTTATTTATTATCAACGATGAAAGTAAACACCAGCTTAGATAACAATAGACTCTTATCTAAAGTACTGAAAATAACATTACTCTAAGATTTTATTGTTCGAGAGTTCTACAATTGTGTTCCATAGTAGAGTTGGACTTTCATTTCAAGGGGGCAAACATTAAGTTACAATTTTTAAAATAATATAACAATAATAAAAATATTTCATAAATTACTACAAGAATGGATTGATAGTTGACAGATAGAAGACAACTGCTTTCGTGGGTGAAAGTCTGTGGTCAACATAAGCGATGATGACTAGTGCCGTAGCGAAAATTTTAGATTTTTTATGGAATTGGTACAAAGTCCTTTACATAGAATTTGGGGAGAAATGAAAATTTATTTAATGATTTAGGGGGGAAGTTATGCACAACACTCTAAAAATGAGGGAAAGAATGAAAATTTAAATTTTAGAAAAAGTAAAATAAATTAGAAAACATGTAATATAAGTGGCTCCAACGTGACCATGTGTGAGTTCATCCCTGATTTTAAAGGAATTAATGTTTGTACAATTATTTTGAGGCACTTAATTCTTATTTGATCTAATTATGTGATAATTAAATAAAAATTTTAATTTATTAGAAATAAATGCATGTTGTCGATACAGATTATAGAAATTAAATCCATCGACAACTTTCACATTGGGTCAGTGGGCCCCTATTTGACAACCATCAAATATTTTTTTTTTCAAACTCATTTCCAACCACACTTTCTCACAATAAAAATATTTTGTATGTTAATCAATCATGCTACTTGTACAATGTATTTTACAACTTGGTTTATAATGTATGAGTTGACAAACATCACATCCATCTATTTGAAAAATTGTTTTTAGATCAATGGCCAGAATTTTTTCAACACATTTGTTGTCAATCAAGTTGTACAAATACATTGTACAAGTGGTTTTATTCAAAAAATTTAGTGTTTGTTTGGTAGAGATTTTAATAATTGATTTTTTTACCGTTAAAGATAAAGTAGGTTCTACGTGTGAGAGAATAATTCGAAAATAACGACTATAATAGTGAAATAACGATAAAAAAACTGATTTTAATTGACTTTTTAACTGTACCAATCAAGCTCTTATTTTAATTGTTGTCGGACTGAATTTCCTTTTTCTCTTTCCAATTTGTTAGCACTTAATCGATTTCACAAGAAAGGTGAGAACGCGAACGAAGAGGATGAAATATCTCGAGATCCTATAGGGGGTTTATTTGGAATTCGAAATGATAAATCAGTCAATTCAAGAAATCGGCTATGGTATCCAAGTAATTCTAGGAAAATCTAAGGTTGAAAATATAATGTGGCTGAGGGGCAGAGGTCTTCATCATTAGACACTCGTATGTCTCCTCTGAAGTGGATCTTCGCACGTTATATATGTTGGGCTAACTTTGTATCTCTCTCCTCCCTTCCTCACTTTATATTGTCTAATCTCTATGTATCTATATAATCCTCTCTCTTTCTCTCTCTATATCTATACATCTCTCACATTTATTATCCTTCTTCATAACTCTTCATCAGTCATCAGTGTGACAGAAATAGATAGCCAACAGCCCCACCCTCCCTACTCTACGCCATCCCTATACTATACCTCCTGCCTCTATGTCCTCCCCAGGCACCACCTCCCTACAGAGAGAGCTTCATCTCCATCTGAGCTTCACATGGAACTACGACACACATTCTTTATGAATTCCTTTTTTTCTTTTATATGCTTATAAGTGTTTTTAGTTGAATCCATCCAACCCTCCTTCCTGATACTTCATTCTTGGTACAAAGATTGATGCTCTAAGAATACGTATTTTGTTTCTATATATCGATGCGTGCATATACATTTGTTGTTTGCACAGGCGGAGTTGCTTTTCTTGAATAAACAGTGACTAAATTCCCATTTCAAATCTGAGTTGTTTATGAACCTTTTTTTTGTCTCTGACAATGAAAACCCGAAAAAGAAAGACTTCAGAAATGTAGTTGAAAACCCAAATCTTCAACCTCTCAAAGTTAATATTAGAATTGATTTTCAAGTTATAAACCCTTGTGCCCACAAGAAGTCTGAGTCTTTTTCCTCTTCAAATTAAGGAATTGAATCATTTTATGCAAAACCCATGAAGAATTTTTACTGGTTTAAGCAAATCGCAAGCACCCAGAGCAAGCTGGAGAGGAGGCTGTCATTGGGAGAGTACAAAAGAGCAGTTTCATGGTCAAAATACTTGGTGTCATCTGGTGCTGAAATTAAAGGTGGAAGAGAAGAAGAATGGAGTGCTGATATGTCACAGCTTTTTATTGGCAGCAAATTTGCTTCTGGGAGGCACAGCAGAATCTATAGAGGGGTATATAAGCAGAGAGAAGCAGCAATTAAGCTTATTAGCCAGCCTGAAGAGGATGGAGAGTTGGCTGCATTGTTGGAGAAACAATTTACATCAGAAGTTGCTCTCTTGTTCAGGTTAAGGCATCCCAATATCATCACTGTAAGTAGGAATGTATTTCTTCTTTTTTTCTTTTTTCCCCCCCTTTTGTCGTTGGTAAAGACATACACAGAAATGATCTAATGAGAATTGGTACTCATCTTATACTAGTCACCGATAATGTATCCAACATTGAATTAATATGACACATAACATGTGCTTAGGATAATATGACACATCACCGGTGCTCATCTCATGAGCACATATATATATATATGATTTCAAGTGTTGTTAAAAATCAATAGCAAAACTGTGTAACACGTTAAACAAAGCTGCCAACCATGATTTTAGTGTACCAAAACTGATATAAGTTTAATCAATATGGTAAGAGAGTATAGGAAGACTTTATTTTCGATTATCTTGCTACCGTAGATTATGGAAATGCATACGTTGGGCCTCTTATGGAAAAATGAAAATTTTGGACATATAAGGTCTTTGATGAGAAAATGATATAGCTGAAATGGAATGTGTTGAAGATGTAATTTAATGAATGAGCCTGGTTTTAGACGAGCTTGTTCAATGTTTGTGTTGTGTATCGTTGATTTGTGTTACACGCGCAAGGTAAATGACATACCTTTTGATAGCAGGATCAGAATTTCACTGGCATTATCTGAGTTTTCTGATTAGCCTGCATGTTAAGAATGATTGAACAATATATAGACTGTAAGCTTATTTGAGTCATGGTTTCTCCTGTCGTGTAGATGCAAGTAGCTATTAGACCAAAGAATGATGGAGATGATATTTGTTATTTGGTTACGGAATTGTTCTGTAACTGCATCATTCGTGTTCACAGGTTTCAAATCCCTTGGGAAACCTGGATCGGAAATAGATTGTATGAAACAAAGGAAAGTTCTATATTTATTTGATTTGGTTTAATGGTTGACCAGTGCAATGAACCTTACTATTTTACGGGACTCATCAATTTACTTAATGTATGAGATCCAGATCTTGCATAATACCTTTGAATCTAGATGGTGTGATCGAGGTAAGATAATCCAAATGTATGAAAAAAGTATGATGAATTGAACATACTTGTAGGGGACAGAGGATCCTATTCATTTCTCGATAATCCTCTGAGTATTTCTAAGTTGAATCATAATTGTTAGGTTGACGCCAGGATAAACCTTATCGACATCTTTGGTAAAAGGATTGGCCATAACTTGACAATATTAAAGAAAAAAGTTAGCCCTTGTTTGAGCCCCATTTTGAGGGGAAAAATGAATTTTTGAATAGTGTATTGATGTGAAATGTGTGGTTAAAAAATAAAGAAAAGTTTTGAATTTACGTGTAATATTATTTTATTGAAAAATGTGTGGTTGAAATTATGTCAAAATACTGTAGAAGAATTCATTTTCTCCAAAGAATGGGGATCAAACAAGGGCTTAAAATTCTGTTATATTGGCTAATCTTATACAATTACACATGCTTTCAGAGTAATTATGCTGCAATTTATGTTAGAGGTCCACAGGTTTGTATACATGTCCCCTTGTATCAACTGCAAACTGATATTCATAATGTTAGTTGAACCTTATAAAAATGTCCTATTCTTTTAAGTGGTAAAATTTTTTTTAAGCTTTCATTTACGGTTTGGAGATTGGTTTTTAAGAATGATTGATTGGTAATTAGTCTAAGAACTACATTTCCATTTCAGTTTTATGACCTCAATATGAATGTTTGACATCATAATGCAGTTTATAGCAGCGTGTAAGAAACCTCCGGTGTTTTGTATTATCACCCAGTACTATCCTGGTGGATCACTGAGAAAGTACCTCCATCAACAAGAGCCATATTCACTTCCCCTCAACCTAGTACTAAAATTGGGACTTGACATTGCACATGGGATGAAATATCTTCATGCTCAGGGAATTCTTCACAGGGATCTCAAATCAGAAAATCTGCTGCTCGATGAAGATATGTGTGTGAAGGTTGCAGATTTTGGCATATCTTGCTTAGAATCACAATGCGGCAGTACCAAGGGCTTCACGGGCACTTACCGTTGGATGGCACCAGAAATGATAAAGGAAAAAAAGCACACAAAGAAAGTAGATGTTTACAGTTTTGGCGTTGTCATGTGGGAACTTTTAACGGCATTGATACCGTTTGATGACATGACTCCAGAACAAGCAGCTTTTGCTGTCTGCCAAAAGGTAACTTCACGAGGCTAACTCTGATGCAATGCGTCTTTGTGCTGCTTTACGCTGGGGTCATCTAACTGAATATATAGATTGTAGGTTTGTAGGCATTCTACATTGATCATCTCACATTATTCTGATGATTATTCACTTAATTGCCTTTTTTCCCAAACAATTAACCATCTCCCAAGTTTAGGGTTTTCGTTTCTGTATATTCTTTTGCCAAGAGTGTTTGGCAAATTGGAAATTAGAGATAAAGATGAGCAAGTTGGTTTTATGTCTTGTGTGATTCTTGTGTGGCATTTGCTCATCTTCAATATCAACATGAATAGGGTGATCTAAGTTATGAAAAACCGCTAGAAAGAGAATAATACCATATTTCTCATTTGTATAATGAAATTTAATCATCTATAATTGATTATGCATGTTTAAAAATCTTGCGACTTTTAGCGATCACGCTTAATAAGTTGAAGTCCTGTGTGCTTGGTTATAAGCCCTGAGTTTTTGAATTCTCGTTGTTCACTCTTGATGCATTTATATATGAGATAAAGAATCACACTCATTAACTTTTTTTAAACCATGTTTGTTGTATGCAGAATGCAAGGCCACCATTGCCTTCTTCATGCCCAATGGCACTTCGGCTGCTCATAAACCGGTGCTGGTCCAGTAATCCTGACAAACGGCCACACTTCGAGGAGATCGTAACTATTCTTGAAAAATACACAGAGTCTCTCGAGTGCGACCCTGAATTCTTTTTGTCTTATGAGGCCCCAGAGGGATTCTCTCCTTCGAGATGCCTACCAAAGTGCATTGCGCGTAGATCCCCATCTTCAAGGACATGAGAACATGCAAGATTGTGTATGATACTAAAATGTATCGTAGGTTTCTGCTTCTTTAGGCCTTAATGTTTAGTGTAATTTATAAAAAAACTTTCCTACACCATTATTTTTCTTCATGGAATGTAATGGAACCAAAAGTGCTATGTTTTTTTTAGTAGTATCATGGGAATAGAATCGAACAAATCTTGTTTGGAATGACATGGCATTCTTCAAAAAAGGTAATTAGCACAAAGTGTCTCTACCTTTCAATGTTATTGTGCACAACGTCCATGCCTTTCATTTTTATGACATTTTTGTCCTTATTTCAATGTTTCATAGTAGAAACATCATTTTCACCATTTTTAATGTAAAATGATCAAAATATCCTTTCATTTAAATAAAATAAAATAAAAAAATAAAGAATAAATTACAATCTTACTCTTAAATGTTTTAAAAAGTATAAGTGAGTTCAAATCATTACTAAAAGGCCTAATAGCACAAAATGTCTCCACATTTGGCTTATAATGTGTAAAATATTCATACATTTCAAATTGGTGAAAATAACGATTTTCGCAATGAAATGTGGAAATAGGGATGAAAATGCAAAAAAATTGAAACACATGGACATTTTCAGTAAGAAGTGTCAAACATATGGATGATTTTTGCTATTGGACCTTATTAAAATATTAAAAAAAAAATAAAAACTCTCTCTCTTCCTTTCCTCTCTAAATGGGTCAGTCACCTTAAAAGCCAAAAAAAAAAAAAAAAAAAAAAAAAAAACCACCAAAAATTTTCTCTCTTCTCAAAATGGATCAGTCACCTCAAAAACAAAAAAAACTCCAGCAAACCACCACCCAAACTGCTGGATCACCATATCACCAAAATCCCCTCACTTCCCTCTAAACATACCATCCAACATCTAACCTTGAAACCTTCATGCCAATAGATTTATTCAGAATTGCAAGCCAAAATACCCAATTCGCGAATGTAAATACTAGCGGCATCACCTATTCCGGAGAAACTCATGCCATTTCCAACACACTGATTGACTATACTCACTATGGTGCATCTCTTCATGGTCTTAAATTATCAACAGATCATTCAATGGTATTGAGGTTCAACTGTTTGGACGATGGTATCGGAGTTTTTTCAACTTGGCAATCCTGTTTTGAGAAGAGAGAAAGTGTGTGTTTTTTTATTTTTAATATTTTAATAAGGTCTAATAGCAAAAAAATCTCTATATTTGACACTTTTTGTGAAAAACGTCATACGGTTCAATTTTTTGTGTTTTCATCCATATTCCCACGTTTCATTGCGAAAAATGTCATTTTCACCAATTTGAAACGTAGGAATATTTTGCACACTATAAGCCAAACGTAAGGACATTTTGTGCTATTAGGCTTTTTAATAATTATTTGGACTCACTTGCACTTTTTAAAACATTTAGAAGTAAGATTGTAATTTATTCTTTTTTTTCCTTTTTTTTTTTTTTAGTTTTATTAAATGAGAGGGTACTTTGGTCATTTTACATTAAAAATGCTGAAAATGACGTTTCTACAATGAAAAGTTGAAATAAGGACAAAAATATCAAAAAATGAAAGATATAGACGTTTTGCACAATAATATTGAAAGTTGGAGACCTTTTGTACTAATTACCATTCTTCAGAAAATATAAAAATAATGGTCAGTATCTTTTTCTAGTATGAATATGCTTGGCATAATTATCAATA